ACTAACCAGGTGTTTCTTGCAATTTATGTACAGGATGTTCCATAAAACTAACACAGGTGTACCAGATTTTCCCTTATTCATTTTGTTAATCTTTTGAAGAAAAGTCGCTTTTTTAAAAATCCATATACTAGGTGTTCTATAGAATTAAGGGCAGTTTTATTTCTTTTCACTTTTAGCTTTGTCTATTTACTACAGTCTTTTAATGAAAATTTATATATTTATCAAGCAGATGTCTTAATTTATTTTTTTACCATTTCTGCCTTACCTACGTAGTCTTTGGATGAAAATTTTATATTTACTAACCAGATGCCTTTTTGGAAGTTTGGAACAAACTTTTCTTATTCTTTTCTTGAACGGGGCCTACTCTTTTTTGAAAAACATTCTCATCATACTTTTATATACAGGGTGTTTAAAAATCAAAGTACAGGGTGTTTATCTACTAACCAGCGAGGAAAGCACCGCGGAGCGGTGTTCGGGCCGCGCTGCGCGCGGCCCGGGGGCCGAAGGCCCGAGAGAAAGGTCAAACTCCGCGTCAGCGGAGTTTGCCTGCCTTTCTAGTAATAAACATTAAGATATGACAGCTAGAATTTTGGAAGAGTAGAATTTTTAAAAAAATAAGGAAGATAAAGTTATTGACAGAAGATAATAAAAGCAATAAGAAAAGGAAAGACCATGTATCAGAAAGAATAAATGAAAACGGTTTCGATACACAATTTGAGTGAATATTACGGAAGATACAAATACAAGTAAGTCTAATAACGAAAACAAGATTAAAACGTGTTATAGAGAACAACCCAAATTTGTGAAGAAATTCACATAACTCAAGTCACCGTCAGGGAGCAGAAGTATACAGCAGGAAATAGGAGTACAAGACAACATGAAATAAACTAACAGAAGTTGGATCTACAGCTAGAGGGTGTATAGTGAAAACAGAAGTGATCAAAGAGAAAATAAAAAGAAGTTTAGTGCATCGGACAATATTAACAAAAGGTAAACTAACGAAAAGTTATCTAGACTTGATTAAAATTTAGTATAGAATATTCGTATTCTGAACATTGTTGTTTAAGTTAAGTTTTAGTATAAGGATTGGCGTAGGAAAAATATAATTTTATTTAAATTGTATAAAAAAATCAATTTCAATTTAATATAAATTATTGAAAAACACATGATTTCATTCAGAGATACTTTCTTCTAAAGAACCACCCTTAGAGATAATAGAATAAATATTTGTTTACATTCTATAGAAACATTTTATTTTCAAATTTATTTTGTTTTGAACACATTTAATTTCAAAAGTAATTATATATTGATTATAACCAAAATTATATTCAAGAATAATTTATTTTGACAAAGAAAGATATAAATTTCAGTGCGACTAATATCTACTTTATTAAGCATTTGAAGGTAAGTAGATATTCCCATTTTGACAAGTTGAGATATCCAATGGTACCTAAATATTAATTGTACACACAAATTAAAATACACGATTAATAAAAAAATAACAATACAATATATATATATATATAAGATCTAAATGCTTCAAAATACTTGTTTGACCTAATTTTTTTTCGTTAAATCCAATGGTTTCAGAGTTATTTGCAAAAACCTGTCCGAAAACAAGCACTTTTTCAGTAAAAAATCAACATTCTCAATGACGAATTACTCGGAAAGTATTGAATTATCCAAAAAACTTTATATAACATTTGTTACTTAAAATTGACTCCTCTATCGATTTCCGTGGTTATTTTGGACGTAAAAATTTCCACCCCTAAGAAGGGGTGGGAACCACTCCCAGTGACAACTGCGGAACAGCGTCAAAGTAGCATACAATGAAATAGCACCACATCTCCAAAATTCACTTGTCCTGCTATGGTATAATTATGGCCGTTTTAAACTTTGGCAAGGCAGTACGACCACAGCGTTGTCGGCGAAGGTTTGGCTGGGTGTTCCACCGACCTCGTTCGACGGACGTTGTCCGTCACATCAACCGAACTGCTGGTTTGGCTGGGTGTCCCACCGCCAGTGGAAGACGTTGAGTGCAGGTTCATATGGCAGCAGCGTTATCGGCGACGGTTTGACTGGGTGTCCCACCGCCTTCGTTCGACAAACGTTGTGAGCCCCTTTACTGAAACTGCTGGTTTGGCTGGATGTCCCACCGCCAGTAGAGGACGTGAAGGTGTCGGACTGTACGGCAGCAGCGTTGTTGGCGAAGGTTTGGCTGAGTGTCCCACCGCCCAAGCTTGATAAACGCTGTAAAGCACAATAACCGAAACTGCTGGTCTGGCTGGGTGTCCCACCGCCAGTAGAAGACGTTCTGTGTCGGTTGTGCAACGACGGATAGACCCTCGAAGTTTGGCTGGGTGACCCACCGCTTCTGGGAGAAATCTGTCACCCGCCACGCATTTGAACGCGCACCTCGCCCAGACTTTGCCAAATAATTCATTTTCCTGACTACCGTTTGCTTATTTATGCCCGTTGTAAATTGCATTGCTTTGCTTTTCTCCTTGGCTGGTTAAACCTCCGCTTAATATCCGTTGCTTTGCTGGAGACCGCCGCCGATATTTATTTGTAGAATTAGAGTAACCCGTAATTATTTTTCTGTTTCAGAGCCATTTGGGAACAATTTATTTATTGATTATTTATTACTCTAATTTATTGACCTTATTTTGTTTCCTTTCTAGCACCGACCGAAATTTAAAACCGAATAATTATTTATGGCGTACCGTTTCCTTAGAGTAGTAGTTTGGTTATGGTAAATAAACCAAACGCCACATACTCCGTTTTTCTACCGTACCGATTTTGTGTCCTGATATTTGACTATGTGCTAATTTTATATTTATTTACAGCACCTGAAAACCGAATAGACATTTTAAATCCGTTGTACAGAATTGCTCTAATCCATTTTATTTCATTCACACCGCTTGTAAACTATTTGTATATTGTCTGATTTTAGTTGGTTATAATAATTGTAATTAGAATCTATTTTACTTTTGTTTGTTTCAATTTCCGTAGGCCTTAGTATTATAAAATAAATCTAGTAAATACATATATTTCCAGTTGTCTTCATTCTTAACACCGATAAGATTGATAAATTCCGATCAGTAAAAAAGGGGTCGCGATCTTTTTGTGACCTACACTGATAAGTCCGTTTATTTTGAAAGTAAAATCACACTACACTCAGAGAACAACTTTAATTAAAAGTAAGAGAAATATAACAGACCCCTGGATTTAAACTTTCTTCACTGCAGCTATCCCGAGTACTTACTCTAAAAGATAGGGAAACTGGCGGCCGAGACTAACCGAACAAAAAGATTATAATCCGGAGTACGTTCCTGTGACGTCACTCACCGCCGCCGGCTGCCGACCACCGTTGCCGATAAAACAGTAGTCAAGGGTCGTCACAAAATTAGGCGTCCAAACAGGGACGTCACTGACGCCTATAAATATTAGAATTCGAAATTGCGAATTAAAATTCCGTTTTCAGTTGGTAGTCTAGAGGGGCGACAACAAAGTAACGGCCGGGGTTACGTTACAAACTTTTCGGAAATTTCGGGTGATGCATTAATTTCTTTCTCCAGAGTATATAAAATAATAAATTATGTAACTTTGTCAGTATTGACTATCCGAAAAAATGTCATAAGAACTTGTATTATTTTTATGAGTAGAATCACCCCCAAAATGTCTTCTATTCATTTATGAACCTACGTATACATCAAAAATGTCGCAAAATTGCGTTATAAACCCAAGTTCAATGATTTAAGATAAGAAATAAAACTATTTCTGGCAATAACTCAGAAATGGTAGTTTTTTTTTTGGTCTTTTGAAAAAAGACCATTCATCATTTTGTTAACGAAAGCAGACGACAAAGTAGATTTCTATTCTATCTAGGTAATAAATAGTTTTTCCGATATCAATTGAAGAAGCAAGTACCAGGTTCGGTCGCCCAACAGATTGATAGTATGTACCAGGTTCGGTCGCTGACTCGGCATTGAAATATTTGTTCCCATATTTATTTAGCCATACCCATATACAGGTCTGGTCGAACTAAACGTGGAGGCGATAGAAATGTATACGCTCAGTTGAAGAATGTGAGCGCGGGCAAAAGAAAACGATTACAGTTGCATTGGACTACTGGGCAATAAATCACAGGAAATTACAAGTGGTTGATAAATTGCCCAGCAGTGCAGTGCATCAATGCGAAATTTGGTGTAATTCAGGTAATTTTAATTTATTATAGGCACCTTCTATCAATCATTCATATTACAATTGCGAAAGGGAGAAATAAGATGGACATTTTGTTTACTAATATTATCACAACATGGCATTTTGGAGACCTTTTGTAACGGAACAAAACCACCAATATAATAAAATTATTTGTGAACATAAATAATTAAAATATGTTGTTGGCCAAATGAACATATAGTAGAAATTTTCTACACATTATATACAAATTATTATAATTTTTTACCTTTGGCAGAAAATTTTAGGTACGCCTATGAAACATATTAAATTTTATTACCAGACGTTTTTTTGCATGTTCAACTGACTTCGGAAAGACTATACATGCTATATAATGTACAGGGTGTAACTTTAAGTGGGTGTCAGTTTTTTTAGTAACCCAATCAATATTATAATTATTTTAAATATAATTTCTACGCCGTTGGAAATGTTTCAGAATGAATATATTTTTTTTTACATTACGGTTTATTCTACAGTAAAAAGGTCCCTTACTATTTTTAAATGAAATGCTTTTTTTTGATTCATTACATCTGAAATGGTTAAGTTTAAATACAGAATAAAATATTTAATATTCAGAAACAAACAAAAATAACAATTAACAATTGAGAACAAAAGAAAAAGTATCATAACAAATGTTCGAAATGTTGTCTTCGAACCTCAACGCATTTCTCATATCTTCTAATTAAGCTTTGAACTGCTCTCCTAATCATATTGGGATGGTGTAATGGCCTATATTAGAGAGACCCCCCTGAGCAACGTCACCACCTTTTTCACTGGTAATAGGCTGGTTGACGGCTCAGGTGCTGTAGTTTTGCTACCCTCCCCACAATTCCAGAATTCCAGAATTCCAGTGTAAGAGTTTTACAATTATTTCCAATTATTCTCAAAAAACCAAGTAAAAATAGTAAGAGACCTTTTTGCTGTAGAATAAACCGTAATGTAAAAAAAATATATTCATTTTGAAAAATTTCCAGTGGCGTAGAAATTTTATTAAAAATCAGAGCCCCTTACGGACGCCTATGATTGATCTATCTTCACAATAATTTGTGAAATCGATAGAACTTTTCATTCGTACACTTCATACTAAATATAAAATAAATAGCTTACATGGTTTAAGAAAAAATAAATAAAAACCAAAAAAAATATGTTTTGTTCAAGAGCTTATATCTGGAAGAAAAAGTGTATAATTCAAAATGACATTATTTTCACGAGATCTAGTGATGGTTAAAATCAGTGGCGGTTTTACCATAAGAGCTGCGGAGCTGCAGAACTCATAAAATTTTATGTATTTGATCATATTGAATATCAACAAAATATTTAAAGAATCCAAATGTACTCGCGCTAAAATAAATCTAGGAGCTTATATTATTATTTATTGTGAAGCGAATTACGCTCCTTAATATATGCAACCTCATATACAAAATGTGTGCACAGCGAACAATTAGATGCGTCCTTTGTTTTTATTGGCTAATCAGGCACGTGACCCAGTACACGAAGATAGGGGCTTTTGTGGCTGCAACAGCGCCAGCCACTGCTGCAGTAAATGCACTAACATTTCGTACGTGATATGTGTTGGTTTATTTCTGCGAGCGGCACGTGTGAATATTTTCGTTTAGGCGTCTACGGATATTATAGTTATTAAAATGAATAGCGTTTCGTTTAAAAAAAACTTTATTTGGTTCTCTGCCTTATGAGGATAAACTAAAATTAAAAAAATTAGGTGGGCCAACATCACAATTAAATTTTGAAGTTAGTGGAACAAGCCAAAGTAAAAGTTATAAAGGACAATTTAACAATAATATGTATACGCAGAATGGGTGTGCGGTGTGATTTAAAAAATACAATGTTTTGTTTTCCGTGCTTACTTATCGGTGGGGATAAAGCATGGACAATATACAGTGTGAAAGATTTAAATCATTAAGTCTTTAGGTAAAATAAATATAAGAAGTCAGTTAGATTCTTCATATTGAGATAATATACAGAAACACAATGAACAGGTAACGAAAAATCGTTATGTATTATCTAAAATCATAGATTGCATAAAATTTTGCGGAGCTTTCGAATTAGCACTT